TCCAGATACTGATTTGGAAGCATGTGTATTGCACGTATTCCTCTACATGTAGTACCGAAAAGGACTCATGCGGTGTTCGTCCAATCTTGTGTTTCGAGAAGTCCTTCAACGTCATTCTGGTTCATAAAGTAAGCCATCCGATCACAGGCTCAATGGCTTTGGTCCGCACTTGTGGTTTCCACTTGTCCGTTTAATTGGAAATGTGGTCAATCTCCTGCAGACAATTTCATATCTTACGGCCTTATCTTGACATGCTACTGGCTATGATTCATTTAGACATTCACAGGTCAGAGGGGGGGGAAAGGCCCCCTTCTTTCTCTGGAGAACCTAGGCTAACACAAGCCCCAACAAACTTGAAGCCTTAAACCCTACATTCCCTAAATCCTAACCTGAAGCGAAACTCCGCCTGATCCTTATGGAGGAGGCTGCTCGTCAAACAAAGTCCCCAAAGTCTAAACCGAGCACCCTCATCCCTGCACTCTAAGGGTAGTTAGATGGGCCCTGAATATGCGCCCTTGGGTTGGGCAGTACGGGGGTCCCCTATCAAGGGCCCATATGAAGGGACCATGTAACTACCCCTAAACCTTAAACCCTAAACTCTAAACTCTAAACCCTAAACCCTAAACCCTAAACCTAAACCCTGATATCTCAGCTCAGGAGGCCATGTTGACACAGAGCGCGAGACTTGGAGAAGATGCGAAAGACCCCGCCTTCGAATGGATGTTCGTGCAATGGGAGGAGGCCGCATGTAGATGTTGGGGTGCTTTGTACCTCCCGGGTCTGAACCCTGAACCCTCAACCCTCAACCCTCCACCCTCAACCCTCAACCCTCAACCCTCAACCCTAAACCCTAAACCCTAAACCCTATAAACCCTAAACACCCTAAACCCTAAACCCTAAGCCTTGCAGGTGTTGGCAGCCGGCCGCGAAGGTCGCCAGGTCCGCGCCGAAGGGTCCACCGAGGCGAAGACAGAAGGCCAGGCTTTCAGGGTTTGGGTTTAGGGTTTAGGATTTAGGATTTAGGGTTTAGGGTTTAGGGTTTGGGGTTTAAGACCCATCAGAGGGGGGCCATCATTTGTTTGAGACTTTGGGGGTTTAGATCGGGCTTAGGGTTTGGGTTTGTAGGAGTTTGGGTGAGTTTTGCTTTGGGTATGCGTTAAGGGGGTTCGGGCTGAGGGTGCCTTCGGGCTCAGGGCCGTTCCTTAGCCCAGCCCGCACGAAGCGCTGCGGTGGCCTCCAACGTATACAGGGTTTAGGGTTTAGGGTTTAGGGTTTAGGGTTTAGGGTTTAGAGTAACTTCCATTTTATGGTAGTCATCACGCTCGCGACATTTATACTGAACTAAATGTGGCCAATGAAGGTTTCCCGCCAGCGCCCCCCTGCCCCTGCCTCGCCCTATACTGTACCCTAAAGGCCCTAAACCCTAAACCCTTGAACCCTAAAGCCTGCCCCGAAGTCGAAATACGAAATATGAAGCCACTTTAATTTGGCGATGTTGGCGCCGGAAAGCTACTAGACTCCCTGAGCTGCCCGCCCAAAACCGCAAAAAAAGCACAAACCTCCAACCCGAAACCGTAGACCCTGAACCCCAGGCCGTAAATCCAAAACCCGACCCTAAACCCTAAACCCTAAACCCTAAACCCTAAACCCTAAACCCTAAACCCTGAACCCTGAACCCTGAACCCTGAACCCTGAACCCTGAACCCTAACCGCTAACCCCTAAACCCCAACCATACAGGAATGTCCCTTGCAGGTGCTCCGTTTGCCTTGCTCAGGGATGTGGTCTGGCAACGGCAGCGTGTCCATCAGCTCACCAGCTCACACGCTTCTGGGGGCGCAAACATCTTGAGGTTTAGGGTTTGGGGTTGGGTTTGAGAGGATCCAAAAACAGAACCCCAATGGTAGTACCCTGTACTACTATTGGGTTCTTTTCTGGATCAACCTAAACCCGAAACCCGAAACCCCCAACCCTAAACAAATCCTAAACCCTAGTTAAACCCGAAACCCTGAACCCTATAAACCCTAAACCCTATAAACCCGAACTGGGCCTAGCTGCGCCGAGGCAGGTTTCCCTAAACCCTAAACCACATTCGTCTGGGTGCATGGCAGCCTAAACCCTAAACCCGAAACCCTAAACCCCAGCTGCCGAGGCTGGTTTCCTGGTGTGGCCCGGGTGTTTCTTTGCGCTGTCTTTGGCGTTGGCAAGCACGGCCCCTTCGATCTTGCAAGCCCCAACTTCCATCCCGGAAGCCCCAATTGTTTATGGGGCTTTTAGGGGGTTTTGGGCTTTAGGGTTTAGGGTTTGGGGTTTGGGGTTTAGGGTTTAGGGTTTAGGGTTTAGGGTTGGGGGCTTGTGAAGGCATGACAGCATGAGTTGAAAGAATAACAACCTTAACATACCGGTTGGTCTTCATTCTAGCAACATGTTCTTCGACCCTAACTTAGGAGGAGGCTCAATAGTCCATCTGTGTTTTTGTGTAGCACAAGTTGCGTCGCAACATTTCCCGCCTTAAAATCATGTTCCAAGTGCATTCGGTGCTTTGGGTTCCCTAAGCCCTCAACCCTAAACCCTAAACCCTAAACCCTAAACCCTAAACCCTAAACCCTAAACCCTAAACCCTAAACCCTATAAACCCTATAAACCCTATAAACCCTACACCCTAGACCTTGGACGTAAGGCCCATCTTTGCAAGCCTCAACCCTGGGCTTGACTCTTCAAGCCGCAAAGCCTCAAAGCCAAGCCTACAGCATGCAAGCCTTAAAAAGAATAGGGCTTAGGGTTTAGGGTTTAGGGTTTAGGGTTTAGGGTTTAGGGCTTAGGGCTTAGGGCTTGGGGTTTATAGGGTTTGGGGTTTAGGGATTACAGAGTTGACAGGTTTTAGGGTTTATAGGGTTTTGGGTTTCGGGTTTACCCTGTCTAAGCCTTGCTACCCCAGCCCTGAGTCTAAAACCCTAAACCCCCTAAACCGCCCTTAAAGCCTAAACCCCCTAAACCCCCGAAACCTCCCGAAATCCCCCCAAACCAGCCTAACCCGTAAGCATCAAATCATGGGACTTTGCCTGGACCCCTAAGCTCGTACCCTTGAGGGGGCCCTTTTTAAAGATCCTCTAAGGGAATATGAGGGCCCTAAACCCTAAACCCTAAACCCTAAACCCTAAACCCTAAACCCTAAACCCTAAACCCTAAACCCTAAACCCTAAACCCTAAACCCTAAACCCTAAACCCTAAACCCTAAACCAAAGCCAGGCTATGCAGGGCATGCTCTTTGCGTGCTCGCGGGGGGAGCTCCAGGCTCTCGAGGTGGCGATCTCTTCAATCATGGCAGGGGTTTAGGGTTTAGGGTTTAGGGTTTAGGGTTTAGGGTTTTGGGTTTTGGGTTTTGGGTTTTGGGTTTTGGGTTTTGGGTTTTGCGGGCAGCTCTTGTAAAGCAATGCCTATAAACCCCTCAACCGCAGCTTCGAGCTGTTGAAGGGCACCCCGAAGTTCTCCTACGATCCAGGGAAGTATGAGGTCCCTGAACCCTAAACCCTAAACCCTAAACCCTAAACCCTAAACCCTAAACCCTAAACCCTAAACCCTAAACCCTAAACCCTAAACCCTAAACCCTAAACCCTAAACCCTAAACCCTAAACCCTACGAACCTGATAATCTAATAATCCCTATAAGCCCTGTAGTTCCTGAAGCCCCAAACCCTACAAACTCTCAACCCTTAACGTTTAAGGAGGGCTCAATTCTCAGGGTTGTGCAAAAGGCGTTCGCCTGCGTTCCCTCACGGGGTTAGGGGGGTGCCTTGAGAGTCAAAGGCTTCAAGCGCGCCACAGAACTCTGCAGGTTGTCGGGAATGTGGCCGCAAACCCTCAACCCTAAACAGGAACCACCCAGATTCCTGGGAGGACACAAAAAGTAGAACCCCCAAATGGTACCCTGCACTACTATTGGGTCATTCCTCGGAAGCCTTAAGCTCTCATTGGTCTCGGAATGCTGGTTGAGGTCAGTGGCCTTGGCAGGTCCTTGCCTTTTGATCCTTCGCAGGACCGGGTTTGTGCCGAAGCGGCCGGGGGGGGGGAGGTGGGGAGGCGGGTATATAGGGCTGCTAGGGTATACAGGGTTTACCTGGGACTCCACGAACCTAGTTTTGTATAAACTGCCCTTAATTAGTAGGTATAACCCATAAAACTGGTAAAAGGGGGTCCCAGGTAATCCCCCTTGTTCTTTTCTAGGTAATGAGGGAATGAAACCCTAGGCCCTAAACCCTCAACCCTAAACCAGGACCGCTATGTACTCGGGGCAGATCAGACTGTGCGGCAACTCTCGCTCTTCGCCGCTGCGCACGAGTCACGAAGCACGCACCTGACGATCGACCCTCCGAGGACAGAACCAAGGCTGCACAGTAGGCTGACGTTCAGGGTTTAGGCTGTAGGGTTTGGGGTTTAGGGTTGATTGCCAGCTATCGGGGATTGTGTTTGGTCTTTGGTGCCGTTCCTCAATAGCGGGAGTTGGCCTGCTTACCGGTTGCCCTCATAAGTAGGAGACGCTCAGAGAAGGCCAGCAGTTCCCTAGGGTTGAAGCCAACTGTTAACTGTATGTCTGCAGGCATGCAGGCACACATACAGTAATCCCCCAACAGTTGGAAACCTTTTTAAGGACAGACAGTGCTGGGATTCCCTATACTTTACTCTTAGGGATTGAGGCTATTGAGTTTCCAACCTTTTTGGCTTCTACTATATTTATGTATAGTTCTAAGCTTTCAAGTCTACAAGCTTGAGATGGACCCTTAGGCTTAGGGTTTAGGGTTTAGGGTTTAGGGTTTAGGGTTTAGGGTTTAGGGTTTAGGGTTTAGGGTTTAGGGTTTAGGGTTTAGGGTTTAGGGTTTAGGGTTTAGGGTTTAGGGTTTAGGGTTAGGGTTTGGGGTTTAGTTTAGGGTCTAGGGTTTGGGATTTCTACTATAGGAGCCAAGGAAGCCACTTACACAGCCTTGTCGCCCGTGCCGATCGGTGGGATGACAGTGCCGCGAGTGGCGCGAGTTGCAATTCACGGCCTGAATCCCGGCTTGCCGGCCACCGAGCCCCTTGGCTGATCTTACGGCTCCTTTTGTGATTCCTTTGTGGGTTTCGTCCTGTAGGGGATTATCGCTTACGACCTTAAAAAGCTGCGACGTACGAGCCTGTAGTCCTATGGAGAATGATAGTGTGGACGATGCGAAACGGGTACGACTTAGGTTAACTTAGGGGCCTGTAGGTAAGAAAGCAGCCAACTGAAGCTCTGAAAGCTAGCACAGAAGGCCTACAAGCGTCCAAAAGCCTCTTTAAGAGGCATCCCGTAAGCTGCGCGGGTCGAAAACCGCCCAGGTACTTCGTCCGATTTGCACCTCAGGCCAAGTTGGCACAGGCGGGCCGTGCACATGGTCGTAGGCGTAGGCCACTGGGCCACTGGGCTCCCTTGAGCAGCTACACCTAGGATGCATAGTAGTAGTCGTACCTTTCTTCTTTTTTTTTTTTTTTTTTGGGGGGGGGGGTTAGGTTCACTTACAAACCCTTGGGCAAACAAGGGCACCCTTTTCAAGCCGAGGTTACGGGCAACCAAGCACAATATACCATGTTGGTCTCTTCAGGTTAGTAACCCTATAGATGTTGAGGGTATTACCCGCCGCCCCCCAACCCAAAAAAGTTAGGGTTAAGGGTGCCCTAAACCCTAAACCCGAAACCCTAATCCCAAAACCCTAAACCCTAAACCCTTAACCTTAAACCCTGGCTTACGCCAGGTGCTCTTGCTGGAAGACGCCACCTTGGGATTTAAGCGTTGCCTGGCCTGGGCCACACTGCCCGGGAGCCAGCTGAGTATCCCACCCAAAGCCAAGGTCAGGTCAACGCTTCAGGGTTTATGTAGCAGGTTTTGCGATATAGGGTTAGGGATTAGGGTTTAGGGTTTAGGGTTAGGGATTAGGGTTGAATCAGGTATATCCTCCCATCTACCCCTTGAACCCACCCTGCCAGGTCCTGAACGCCACCATCCTTTTCGCCGACTTTGTTCTCAGCGTACCCCTTGCCCGAGATCAGGCGCAGCACCTTGCTTCTTGGACTGCAAAGAGACCAGGGTGGGCGATTCTAAACCCAAAAACCTGAACCCTAAATGACACAGGGTTTATATTTCTGTTATTGGTGAGTGTATATTAGGTTCCTTTTTGATATTGGTGAGTGCATATACCTGGTGTTCTTTTGGGGGTACAAGAAATGTATACCCTACTTCAAATGGGTTGATTCCGGCCTAAGAGCACATCTTGAGTCTCCTAGTACGCGGGGGGCCGGGGTTCAGGGGTTCAGGGCAGAGAGACGTCTTGACTAGGGGGATCGTCTGGCTACTGGTTCTTCGTAGGCCAGTGGTACCCCGTTGCCATTTTTTGGCGGTTCCAGGTTGCTGACTGGGCTACCAAGGGCTGATATTGCCTGAGTCACTTGGGGTTTAGGGTTGCGAAGGTGGGTGTGATCTTGTGTTGGCCAGGTGTTTCACACTTTGTTCTCATGTGCTTCTTGCATCATGGCTATCGATGAGATTTGTCATTCTTGCTTATCGTCTGTGGAGAACTTTTGGAGTCGATTTGCTTCAAAAACAACAAGTGGGGCAGCGCGGCTACAAGAGACCCCCTTCCACCTTCCAGAGATTGAATTCATCACGGGGAGGGCGGGGGGGGGCGGGGCCTCCGGGCAGGGCGGGGGGGGGGAGGGGAGGGAGGGAGGGGTGCGAGGAGGGCATTGGTTCATAAATGGCAAGTCAACATCAGGGCAATCATACTGTAATGTTCGGATGCAAGTAAGGCAGATGGGTTTGTCGGGGTTTTCTACGCTGGAAATCGTCATTCACGCATGTTTTCAGATAGCTTTTTTGACACCCACTGGCCTTCTGCCCGCCGACCTGTAACATAAGCAGTTGCTATCAATTGAAGCAACTGGTCACTAGCTAGGAACAGTCTTGTTACTTGCCCCCCTCCCTAAATGGGGGTTTACGAAAATAGGGACCCCCAATGTAGATCCCCAAATCGTAGGATCTGCTTATAATGAGGAGCCTGATAAGGTACCCGGAAAGCCCCAAATCCTAATTGTAGAAGCCTGGTTGTGTAATTTTGCGGATGATTGAAAGGTCCCTAGAGCAGCAGGATTCCGAGCAGCCTCGCACACTGAACCCTAAACGCTCTACCCTCAACCCTCAACTCTCAAGCCTCAACCCTAAGCCCTAAACCCTAAACCCGAAAGCCTAAACCCTAAACCCTACGCCACCAAGGAAGTGGCACAGGATGCCACCTGGACGGTTTTTCACCAGCGCTCGAACTCGTCCAGCTGCAGCTTCTGGCTTGAATCTACCTGTAGGGTTTAGGGTTTTGGGTTTTGGGTTTTGGGGTTTAGGTCAGGGTATCGGTTTTAGGGTGTAGGGTTTAGGGTTTAGGGTTTAGGGTCATCAGCTGAGGATCGGACTGCGAGGACGATCCGGATTGCCTCGCATCCTTCACAGGTACAAATGGATGTTCCTCTCCAACATGAGGGGTTTAGGGTTTAGGGTTTAGGGTTTAGGGTTTAGGGTTTAGGGTTTAGGGTTTAGGGTTTAGGGGTCATGGTTTAGGATTCAGTAGGAGGGGTTGGAGGAGGGTTTCCCTGACCAAAACCCTCAGTTCCACTCAACGCCGCCACAAAAACTCCTAAACTCCTACACCCTCAAAACCCCCAGCAACTCCTTCGACTTGTTAACCAAAATTGCCCCAAGAAACCCACAAACAACCCTTACCCCTATAACTTACCTCGCGAGCCCTATTACCCTAAACCCTAAACCCTAAACCCTAAACCCTAAACCCTAAATCCTAAACCCCAAGCAGAGGCGTCAAGGATGTTGAAAGGCCCATTTGAGGTTTCTAAGCTCTGGAGTTTAGGCTTGTTGGGGTTTAGGGTTTAGGGTTTAGGGTTTGGGGTTTGGGGTTTAGGTTGTGTGAGGGGCATGCTCGCTTGTGGACTCTCACAGCCCATGGCAGGCTTGCTTTTTGTGTGTTGAAGTGTTGAAGCCCTAAACCCTAAACCCTAAACCCTAAACCCTAAACCCTAAACCCTAAATCCTAAACCCCAAGCAGAGGCGTCAAGGATGTTGAAAGGCCCATTTGAGGTTTCTAAGCTCTGGAGTTTGGGCTTGTTGGGGTTTAGGGTTTAGGGTTTAGGGTTTGGGGTTTGGGGTTTGGGGTTTGGGGTTTAGGGTTTAGGGTTTAGGGTTTAGGTTTAGTTGAGGTTTGGGGTTTGGGGTATAGGGCTTTCATGTAGGTTGTGTGAGGGGCGTGCTCGCTTGTGGACTCTCACAGCCCATGGCAGGCTTGCTTTTTGTGTGTTGAAGCCCTAAACCCTAAACCCTAAACCCTAAACCCTAAACCCTAAACCCTAAACCCTAAATCCTAAACCCCAAGCAGAGGCGTCAAGGATGTTGAAAGGCCCATTTGAGGTTTCTAAGCTCTGGAGTTTAGGGTTTAGGGTTTAGGGTTTAGGGTTTAGGGTTTGGGGTTTGGGGTTTAGGGTTTAGGGTTTAGGGTTTAGGTTTAGTTGAGGTTTGGGGTTTGGGGTATAGGGCTTTCATGTAGGTTGTGTGAGGGGCGTGCTCGCTTGTGGACTCTCACAGCCCATGGCAGGCTTGCTTTTTGTGTGTTGAAGCCCTAAACCCTAAACCCTAAACCCTAAACCCTAAACCCTAAACCCTAAACCCTAAACCCTAAACCCTAAACCCTAAACCCTAAACCCTAAGCCTGCAGCCTGAAGCATCAGCTTTGCCTGGAAGCAGCTATGCATGTTGGACCCACTGCACCCTGACCGCCTCAAGACTGAGACCCTAAACCCTAAACCCTGAGCCCAAAACCCTGAACCCTGAGCCCTAAACCCTAAACCCTAAACCCTAAACCCTAAACCCTAAACCCTAAACCCTAAACCGCCAAGCCGAAGACTAAGGCTTTGCAGCCTACCACAGCTACGCATGGCACGAGAGCCAAAGTTGTGGCGGGGCCGCGAAGTTAGACAATGCCATTCAAGACAGCTTTCGAGCCTTGGTAGTCACGTGGCACCCTGTTTGCCCTGTAGTGGGTTCTGGTTCCCCTTAAGGTAACCACCCCAAGTCTAAAAGCAAAATACCATTCTCAATCATAACAGCAGTTCGCAAATAACCAGCAAACTGAAGCCAGCAAAAGCATGTTGGTAACTGTAATTTGAAAACAGCCAGCAAAATGCAGACAGCAAAAAGATATTGATATTGGTAGCTGTTCTTCTGCCGCCTCTACCCAAGGAGCCCAGATGTTTGGCTGCGCGACGGATGCTGGCACCTGGAGTGCCGAATGCGGGCAGGGCGTCCAGGTGCAAAACCAGACGGCCAGGTTTGATTCGGTGCAGCCAGACTCAGGGTTGCGATTAGGGGGGGGGGGGGGGGGGGGGGGGGGGGGTGGCATAACTAGAGATTTTCAGTCACTCTTGCAGGACCTATAGGGTTTTTTTCGTAGGGTTTCCTGTAAGCTCCTCTTTTTCACCAAGTCGACTCTAAGGACTGGCAAGGAGGAACCTCTGGGCAGCTCCGTCTAAAGCTACGGCGTGAGCAAGGATTGGAGAGGAAGCCGCTGGATGTCCAGTCCATCAGCCTCTACAAGGAGGGGACCCCCTAGTTACTTGGAGGTTCATGGTACTTAGTAACCAATTAACACTGTATTAAGCCCCTTAAGTGCCCTAACATGGTTACCACAAGTACAGTTATAAGTACAGTTGTCATTGGGTAATAAGTACCATGAACCTCCAAGTAGGCCCTAGTTATACGTAGACTTATAAGGACCGTAACTTTGGTTCTAAGGATCCTAACTTCGGTTTTATAGTCTCTTGACTACTGGGTGGGCCTCTGGGACATTTTCGATTTTTTTGCGGGGTTTGTCGAACCTCCGCCAGACCGCAGGTCTATTCCATGCCTCAAGCATGAAAACATTCATCACCTATTTATCAAACCATGACCTCAAATTCTTCAGAAAGCAAAACAAAAGATTTTCCAAACCAACAGGTCACCGCCTCCAGCGGTTCCCCTAGGTTCTTACACGTTCCCTTAAACCATTAAACCATTAAACGAATCATTTCCCCCATATGAGAATCCCCCGAAACCATTAAACCATTGAACCATTAAACCACAGGAGAAACAACCATTGGTTTAATGGTTTAATGGTTAACCAGCGGTGTAATGGTTTAATGGTTTCCTGGTTTCGATGGGTTAGTGGGATTCTCATAGGGACAAATTGACTCCTTGAATGGTTTACGTATTTAATGGTTAAACTTGATCTTGCCCAGGTACCTGGATGGCAAATGACTCCGTCGTAGAGTTTTCATATGTACTAAATATGTATATATGTATATATATATATCCCATTGTCATTATCAGAATCAGCGAGTATATATATATATGTATGAAAGAGCAACCTCTTGGGTCTATTTAACCTTTCTTGTTTTGTGTTTGAAATATAAAAACTAAATAGTTAAAAAAATAGATAATTGAAATGAATAATTCCGAAACCCGCGGAATTATTTAAGTTATTAGAACAGACCAGGTGATTCAAATATTTAGATTATTTCATTAAGGCTCAATTAAATAAACTCGATGATTTGGTTTGAATTATTTAAAGAGACAACTGGATTTCAATAATTTAAATCCAAATTAAAATATTTCAGTCATGTACATTATTTAAATTATGTAAAGAGGCCGGTGGATTTAAATAATTTAAATTAGCTAACTCAGGCCCAATTAACTTATGTAAATTATTTGAAGTATTTAAATAGTGTACATGCTCCGAAATCCAGGCGCTGAGGCGCTGAGCCAGAGTCGCCTGGGCCTGAAATTCCGAACATTTAAATAAGTTCAATAACTTAAATAGTTTAAATAATTTACACAGTTTAGTTCAGGCCCAATTAAATTATTTAGTTCATTGAAATTGTTTACATTATGCAACGATGCCGGTGGGTTTAATTCAGGCCCACTTAAAAATGTTTAAATTATTTTCGATATTCAAAAAATTAAAAGCTCCGAAATCCAGGCCCTGAGCCGGAGTGGCCTGGGGCTGAAATTCCGACGATTGGATAATAATCGTTAAATAGTGTATATAGTGTAAATAATTTAGTTACTTTACATAATTTGAATAATTTACATAGTTTACTTCAGGCCCAGTTATATGATTTCAACTATTTGAAATATTCAGACTGTCTAAGTTATTGAATCATTTCATGTAGTAAAAGTTGAATTTATCATATTTGTTTTTCATTGAAGAGGCCAGTAAATATAAATAATTTAAAGAAATCAATTCACGCACAATGAAACTATTTAAGTTAGTAAATTTAAACAATGTAGATGCTCCGAAATCCAGGCCCTGAGCCGGAGTCGCCTCAGGCTGAAACTCCGACCATTTTAATTGCGTAAATAATTTAAATATTCTGAAGAATATTACCCAATTAAAGTTTTTTAGTAGGTAAATTATTTAAAATTTTTTAGATCATTCACATTTTTTAAAGAGGCCGGTGGGTTTAAGTAGTTTATATGATTTAATTCAGGCTCCGTTTATTTATTTACATTATTTACAATATTAATTTCAACTATTTAACTTTTTAAAATAATTTAAATGCTCCGACATCCAGGCCCTGAGCCGGAGTCGCCTGAGGCTGAAATTCCGACCATTTCAATAATTCAAATAGTTTAAATAGTTTAAGTAATGTAAATAATTAAAATAATGTAATTAATTTACATAATCTGAATAATTTAAATAGTTTACTTCAGGCCCAATTAAACTGTTTAAACTATTTGTATTATTTAAAGAGGCCGGTGAATTTAAAAAAACATAAATTAGTTCAGGCCTATTTAAATTTTTGAAATTCTCTAAATAATTTAAAATATTCGCATTATTTAAATTATCCAAGTTATTTTAAATTATGTAAACTATTTAAATTTTTAACGAGGCCGGTGGATTTCAATAATTTGAATATTGGTATTCAGGCTCAAGTAAATTACTTAAGTTTTTCTGGAGAAGGAGTAGCTACCTGATCTGGCCTGTTGTTAGGGATGCTACCGCCTGGTTTACGACATCTACACCTTCAACTTGTATAAATCTATTGCGATTCTCCTGCGAGCCCTGAGCTACTACCTGTTTGCGGGCAAACTTTGTGGATTTGTGCACACTTTTTTCCACTACTTGTAGGTTAAGAGCCTTGTCAATACGGCTGTAAAGAACTATGATACAACACGACACTGAATATAGAAAACTAACTATGATGGTACTACTACTTGCATCATCATCCTCAGTTTTTGTTTACATATTAGGTGTATCATATATGCTCATATGATCATGAAAGAAACACAATATATGAGAGAAAGCCAAGTGTGATGATATTTGTACTTGCATTATCATATCCAGGCTTTCATATATCAAGTATATCATATATGCTCATATGATTGTGAAAGAGATACGATATCATAGAAAACTGGAAGTGGGTATAACGCACCCTACCCTGTAAGCCTGTCCCGCCCTGAGGTCTGCAACTCGAATCTGCTGGTGCAACTTGTACATGACTAGGCAATCAAATAGAAACTGCTCCTGTCGCGCTCAGACAAGCTGTTTCTAAAGTACTGGTGTAAATTAGTGTACTCATTTATGAGTCGGCAGGACAGTTTCTATTGTTGGTTGCTTGTAACGAGCGACTCGACTTAATGGAGTCGGCTCAAGCCTGGGCGCTTCATCTATATAAGTTGTAAGTGCATCCTAATGCCGGAACCCTAAGTACCTCTAGCGCGATAACAGTTTTTGGCATGAAGTGGCTACTGAGTAGACCGTCGCCCGATGCCATGTCAGCACCTGTGCCTCTAGCGGCTGGTCCTGTAGAGTCTAAAGCTGGACTTGCACCTCCTCCTGTGCCTCTAGCAGCTGGTCGTGTAGAGCCTATAGGTCGAGTTACCTCCTCCTGTGCGTCTACACGCAGGTCCCGTAGAACCTAGAGGTCGAGTTGTACCTCCTCCTGTGCGTCTACACGCAGGCCCCGTAGAACCTAAAGGTCCTCCGCGTCTTGGAGGTCAAGTACAACCCGAAGCAACAGCATGAGGGTTATAACATGCTGTGTGTGCTTATAACCGCGCACCCTCTTGAAAACCGTATTCTTCTACTGCAGTGTCTGTAGGCTCGAGTCGCGAGATTTAGCAATTAACAGTATGAAGCGAGCAGCCCGTGTTTCGGGTGTAGTGGAAATCCTTGGAAACGGCGCGCGCGTGCTTTAGCTGGTACAACTTGCTAATGGCATGATGCTGACCCCAATGTACGTGCACGTAGTTTCAAAGTTCCGAATTGCGCAAAGCTGAGTGCCGGCATCGCCAGCGGCGTGGTGCCCTCACATCCCAGCAAAAACGGACAAGACGGGGATCAGCCATTACACCAACTACCTGCAACGGGACTCCGGGCTATCTCGTGGCATGGCTGTTGATGGAATGACGCAGCACAGGAGAAACTTTATGCTCATGAAGGAGAAGAAGGGTACCAGAACGCTGCCTGCGCGTTTCCGCTTGGTTGAACAAAACGGGCGCCGACTCTGGTTCATTCCAACAAACAATCTAGTTCATGCCAAAAAGCCTAATATATCATTCATATTTTTCGCCAGGCACCTGGGGCCCACCCAGACTTTAGGTAGTATAGTAAGGGGGCCCCCTCCTTGTACAAGGACTAGGGTTAAAGTTTATGGTGCGTCGGGTGTTCTTTGCTGTAGAAATTTGGAAAGGTAGTACGTCATATCCCCCCTAAATTACCTGTTTCAGGGATGTTGGTAGGGAATTTGCTTCCCTACCACTTCGAACTTAGGGTTTAGTGTTCTCGGGTCTAGGGTTTAGGAAGCAAGAGGATCTGCCCTTGCCGATGGATGTGCTGATCCAGCTGACGGGCGGGCATACGGACAACACCACCGAGGTTCTCAGCACGTTTGGCCTCGTGTCCCAGTCAGGCGACATCTTCGTGACGGCGCGCAGGTTTGACCCCTTCCTCTTCAACATGCTCCGTCTTATTGTGGTTCCTTGGTAAACCCAGAGGTACCTCTTTTTTGGGGTTCCTTTTTGCTTCAAGGTTCCGTTATAAAGTAGCCAGCCCCAATGCGGGTGCCCTTATTAAGATATGGTTTCTGGGATACCAAGGTTCCCATCCTGCCCGATAACCACTTCAGAGTTCAGTGGACGTCCATACCCAACGATGGCTTCGGCGTGTGATCTGGCCTTCATTAAGAAACGGTGCAGGTTTACCGTGAACTCGGAACCTTAACCTCTACACTGCAACTGTCAAACTCTATGCCCCCCCCCCCCCCCACTCTAGAATGAGCCCCAAGCCAGAATGGTACTACTTTTTGCCTAGGTGGATACTGACCACTTGCAAGCAGTTGTCGCAAAGACAGGACAGTAAAACACTCGACAGTGAACTGCAGCAACAACACGAGGAATTCATTTGTTATTTGCAATCATCAGGTCAAATGGTCATCGCAAACAAGGGGGTTGCTACAATAGCCGAAGTATATGAACGGGATATCGAGCTTCTAGAAATGCAGATGTGCTTGGCTTTGCGTGATATTTGTGTGTGTTTGAGGGTAACAGGTAAGCCACATTGACATCGGTCGTAATGACATTGCAAAATATACACATACACATACATATGTACAGATTCTGCACGGATACAAGTTCATATGTTATCGGGTAGGTTAACAATATTTCATAGCTTAACAAGCCAATTTAGAATTGTAGTTGCGCGTGAAAACCCCCCAAGACTCAGTTGAGCCTTAGTGTCTAGGGTTTGGGCCAAAAGTGGGGCTTCGGGTTATAGGTTCACTGCACTCTAAACCCTACACCCTAAACCCGGGTAGGGTTTAGGGTTTGGACCCGCCTAGCGTGGTTTCTGCAGCTGGGAAACCCAGGCTCGAAGACAATCTTCCAGACTTCAGGCGCTGCAGCTTGGAAGCAGACAGAGTATAAGGTTTAGGGTCTAGGGTTTAGTGTGTAGGGGAAGGTCGTACCCCTGAGGATGTACCCCTAAGCCGCTAAGAGGTTCCCTTAATAAGCTCCTGATTTGGCGCTTATATTCCCTAAGAAGATCTTTAGACAAATTACCCAAACCCAAGGGTACAACTCCGAAATGAGACAGGGTTCAGGGTGCTTGGGTTTTCGGGTGTACGTTTTTCAGGGTTTAGGGTTTCTAGGGGTGAGCTGATAGATTTGGTGCTTATACACCCTAAACCTTAAAACTTAAACCTATATAGGGCGTACCGTTAAGGTTTAGGGCCTGATGCGGACCCCTGGGAGGATCCAAGAAGTAGAGCCCCCAAATGGCACCCTATACTACCACTGGGTCATTCTTCCGAATCCTTTTTAGGGGATCTACTGTTGTCCCCCCCGTCCCCCCCAAGGGTCTCAGAAGGCCCCTTCACGCGACTGCAGAGCAACATCGAGGGAGTCGTTCGAAGCATCTCCTTTTCTCTCTCATGCAGGAGTGCAAACTGTCACCCTCTTCCCGTTAACCCCTGTAAACCCTAGAAACCCTGTAAATCCTACAAAACCCAAAACGCCCTGAACCCTTCAAAACTTAATCTCTACAGCGCATAGACCCTGTAAAGCTTAACCCCTTTAGGTTTCAAGCACTTTCCTAGGTAACATGAGCAACTTCCTGAGACAGCGCTACCGTGCATGCGGTGCATCGTCGACGGGTGCCAGGGAATCAGAGCCCATCACTTTCAAGCGCTTTTGTCGCAACACGGGGGGCGGGACGGGGGGGGGTTGCCCTAAACTCTAAACCCTCAACCCTCAACCCTAAACCCTAAACCCTAAACCCTAAACCCTAGGGTTTAGGGCTCAGGGTTTGGGGTTCAGGGAGGCTGTTCAAGATCTAAGACTCCCAGACTCCCAGTGGGCATTGGGGTTCCCTCTCTTGTCTGCCTTGGAAACTTTTCCCGAAACCCTAAACCCCAAACCCTAAACCCTAAACCCCAAATCCCAAACCCCGAACCCCAAACCCCAAACCCTAGCTACAGGCAAGATCATGGCACTCTACCTTGGACCCCTAAGGTTGCACCCTTGGCTTTGGGGACCCTTTTTAAAGATCCCTAACGTGATGTAAGGGCCATATGAGGCGTGTTTTTGTTAAGGGAAGCCTTGAGGGGAACAAACCCAGGGGTACGAGCCTGAATCCCTTGAGAAGAAAGCCCAGAATTGAGCGTAAAAGAGGTCCAGAAAAAGAGGCCGACCCTAAACCCTAAACCCTAAACCCTAAACCCTAAACCCTAAACCCTAAACCCTAAACCCTAAACCCTAAACCCTAAACCCTAAACCCCGGAAGGCCCCAAAACCTCAAACACCCAGTCCTCGACCCTCAACCCCAAGAAGCCTGAACCATGAACCTTGAACCCTGCATCCTAGGTGTAGGTTTAGGGTTTTAGGGTTTTTGGGTTTTGTGGTTTAGGGTCTAGGGTTTAGGGGGTTTAGAACTTTAGGGGAAACCCTGACAAAGCCCAACCCTTTCAGCCCCTACCCGATGGGCGCTCAACAAAATCACCCAGAAAGCCAAAAATTCAAGTTTAGGGCTCAGGCCCTACAGAAATCTTTAATACTCAAACAAAGCAGCTGAGTAAATCAACCAAAGGCTCCCAGCCCCCCCCCCCCCAACCACCCCTAGGTACCCGAACGACACAACGCCAAAGGGTTTTCAGGTTTAGGGTTTCGAGTTTAGGGTTTAGTGTACAAAGAAGCCAGCGAAAAAGAAAAGCGCCCGAAACCCCCCCTCTAAACCCTAAACCCTAAATCCTATACCCTAAACCCCAAACCCTAAACCCTAAACCCTAAACCCCCTCCCCCCCTCTCCCCAAAGCCCCGAGGTTCAATCCCTGGGTGGGCCCTTTGGAGGGCCGCTTCCTCGTGGAGCCCAGGGATCCCACGGAGCGGCAGTCGGGCTTCTGAGCTTAGGGTTTAGGGTTTAGGGTTTAGGGTTTAGGGTTTAGGGTTTAGGGTTTAGGGTTTAGGGTTTAGGGTTTAGGGTTTAGGGCAGTCGGGCTTCTGGGCTCCGGAGCTGGCTCTTCGTACAGTAAACCCCAAAAAGTTGAAAACCCTTTTTAAGGGCAAAGAGTGCTGGGATTCCCTTTACTTTACGATTAAGGATTGAGGCAATTGAGTTTCCCACTTCTTGGCTTCTACAGTAGGTTTTTTAACGATTACGAGTATGTTGTTTGTTATTGTTAAGGTTTAGGGTTGCTTCTGGGCTGTTAAGCTTGCTCGCTCTTCGTAGGTTTTCAACGATGTTCATGAGTCTTTTGTTCGTTTCTTTGTTGACTATTATCTTGGGGTTTAGGGTTAGGGGTTAGGCTAAGTTTGGGATACTATGAGTGTTCTTTTGTTGCTGTTACATGATATTTGTTAGTTCCTATTATTATGACTATTTTTGTAATTAAACACATTTTTTTGGTTTTACTGTTGCTATTCCTAAGTATCACTATTTCTGTTTATTGTTGAATTATATGATTTTGATTACAATTTGTGATACGTTTTGCTACTTGCTATTATCTGGCTTGTTATTCTTCATGATTATGAACCGTTGTTTTTGATGTTCTCCAGACTTATTGTGTAATACTAGTAGTAGCATCAACTTGTATTATGATTATTTGCGACTGTTACATTGACAAGTCTTAGGGCTGTGGTTGCCGGATTTCTTTTGGATTCAGGGTTTTGGGTGAAGAGATTGTGCGATGCTTGGTCGGATGCATATGGGGGGGAGGGATGCGTATTTGGGCTTAAATAGAAATAAAGAATTAAATAATTAAGTAAATAAGTATAAGCAAATAAATAAACATAAACATGAATATAAGTATACAAATATATATATATATATAGAGGGTTTGCAGGCATTGGTCTGCAGCACGCCTTGAAACCTAAAGCCGCAACCTTATAGTCAATAGGCCTATAAACACTATAAATCTTAAACCCCACACCTTGGGATGTTCCCCTTATAGTAACAGGCCTTAATAGGGATCATTATAGTGGATACTAGAATCCCGATTAAGGGCAGTTAGTATTAAGACGGAGCATCCTAACCGACACCCTTTCTGTTTTGTCCGGTTTTTTCTTCTGGGGAATCCAGGTTTGTGGCCGCCGCGGCGGCACCAGCACCGCCTGAAGGTGGGGTTTCGGGTTCATGGTATAGGGTTTAGGGTTTAGGGTTTAGGGTGTGGGGTTTAGGGTTTCAGGTTCAGGGTTTAGGGTTTAGGGTTAGGGGGCTTACAGGCCCTGGGGTGTGCGATTGGCTTCAGGTTGGGGGGCTTGGTATGGTTGGGCTCTGGCAGTCTGGGGCTGGTGTTCTCGGGTGCAAAGGCTGTGGGTGCAGCATATGGGCCTTTGAAGTTTAGGGTTTAGGGTTTAGGGTTTGGGGTTAAGGGCTCTCAATCGTCGTAGAGTGATGACACTCCTACACCCTCAACCCAAAGCCAAGGCCCGAAATCCCAATCCCCAATGTTCAAGCCTGGGCTGCTTTGCTGACCTTCGCCGGTCGACGAGACGATGCAACAGTCTCGGCCGGCTGCTGCTGCTGCTGCAGATGCTCGTCTCCCGAAGCCTGAACCCTAAAATCCCAACCACCTAGACCCTGAAATCCGAAACCCCAAAACGCCCGCAACCCTAAGCAAACCCTTCAAACCCCTAAAGCCCTAGGCAAAACCCACAAAATCCTTGAAAACCCTAAACCCTAAGCATCTCTAAACCCTAAACCCTAAACATCCCTAAACCCTAAACCCTAAACCCTAAACCCTAAACCCTAAACCCTAAACCCTAAACCCTTCAAGACGTGAACCTGGCAGGTGCGGTTTGATCAGGCAGACACTGCGGCAGCTTGGGCGGCTGAGAAGCCTGGTAGCCCAGCGTTACCCTTTTTCCTTTTTTTGGTTTAGGGTTTAGGGTTTAGGGTTTAGGGTTTAGGGTTTAGGGTATAGGGTTTAGGGTTTAGGGTTCTTGGCAGCCAGTGGTACCCTTTTTTCCTTTTTGGGGGTTCAAGGTTCCCGTATAACTTTGTGGTGCTTTACTGTAACTTTAGATCCTGAGCCTTGTTGGGTTTATTGGGTTTCTTAATAGGGCAGCTAAAAACTTAATTTATAGCCACCATCCTAAGTGCAGCCAAGAGAACCCTAAGGGTCCATGTACCTAGATAGTATATACTTGGGCCCTAAAGCTACTGTATCGGAACCCCTTTAAGGCCCAAGTATATACCATATGGGTACATGGACCCTTTGGGTAAGGTAACCAACCCAAAATAGGGTGCCCTTATTGTAATATGGTTACTGGGCTACTAAGGAAGGAAGGATGTGAACTTCTGCAGCGTCTGCCGAGACTGGGCTTGGGGTTTAGGGTTTAGGGTTTAGGGTTTCGGGTTTAGGGTTTAGGGGTTAGGGGTTAGGGTTTAGGGTTTGTTTAGGGTTCAGGGTTTACAGGGTTTACAGGGTTTATAGGGTTTATAGGGTTTATAGGGTTTATAGGCTTTTCCCCATAATGGGAGGGCGGAGCACCCTAAGCCCCAAACCCCACACCTTAAGCCTAACAATCGAACAGTAGAATGATATTTTAACGATGTCATGGTACAATGGTACAGTAAAATCTGTAACAGAATCTGAAGAACATAAATATGTGCCAAAATTTTCTGTTACAGACAGAAGACAGCAATATAGTGCCAATGTTATATTATACAGAAGACAGCAGTCTAGTATGTATGTTACATAAATGTACACAGACATGGTAGAACCATAATATGAACACATGATTCATACTAAGAAGAATCAAGAGGGCTAAACCCTAAACCCTAAACCGTAAGCCCTAAACCTGAGGAGATCGGGGCATAACTTCCTAGGGCGATCTGCCGATGCCTTCTGCCATATGGTTGATGGCGCCCTGGCCACAGGCAAGTGCCACTATTCTGAGCTTCTGGGGGTTCGCTTTGGAATCTTTTTTGTTCAGTTTCCCACATCCCAACCGCAGTCCATATCTGACCCTGTCTAACCCAGAGATATGTGATCTCACCAGGGCCCACAGAGCCCCTTTCCTTTAAGGGTAGGTGTATGGTTCTCAATTATAGGCCGTCGGTTTTTTTGGGTACAAAAGGGGCCCCTTTTAAGGGCCCATACTGAGGCACCATGTAACTACCCTAACCCCGAACCCTAAAACCCTAAACCCTAAACCTTAAACCTCAGGCTTTGCGAGGCGTGGAGGAGTGCGCTGGCTGAGCACAGCGACCTCCCAACGCAGCAGCTGGCAACCCTTCTGGCCTGCCAGGCCTTAGGGCTTTAGGCTTTAGGGTTTAGGGTTTAGGGTTTAGGGTTTAGAAGTTCAGGGTTTAGGGTCTAGACGTTTAGGGCTTAGAAGTTTAGAGTTTAGGGTCCAACGCAGCAACTGGCAACCCTTCCTGCCCTGCCAGGCCAAGGCCCAGAAGCTCGCATGGGGGCCCAAGATCTGTGAGTGGGTGACTAGGGTTTAGGGTTTAAGGTTTAGGGTTTAGGGTTTAGGGTTTAGGGTTTAGGGTTTAGGGTTTAGGGTTCAGGGTTTATTTTCCCTTATTGGGCTTAAGAGGATTATATTTAGGAATATTTTTTCAGAGGGTTTTAATGGCCATCCTAGGTGAGCTTCTCATTCTTCGCCTATAACCAGCACCACCACACCTTAGAGAGGAAGGTGGAATTGCCCACATACCAGCAGTGTCTGGGCCATTGTGAAAACATCATTTTGCATTTTGATGAATACTGAATTTAAACCCAATAAGGCACAAACATGATGATTTTAAATAGTACCCCCAACAATGGAGGTTTATTGTCGTCCGAGTCGCGGACTTGTTTCAGAGCATGACGTCTCTGCGCCCGGCTCTGCGCCCCGCCGCCTTAGAGGCCGCAAGGCTGCTCTGCCACGAGCAAAAGTGGCAAGCCTGGGCACATGTGCTCCATGCACACGTGCGCGGGTTACTGGGACAAACGCTCAAGAGCCATGATGGGGAGTTGGTCAATGTAACCTCCAGGCAGACCGATCCATGGCTCTACTGGATGTCGCGGGCAATTCGGACCGGGTCGGTCGACTTCACCCGCACCATCCACGATTGCTGCTTGGGCGCGGTTAGGACGGTTAGGGTTTAGGGTTTAGGGTTTAGGGTTTAGGTTTTTTTTTAGGGTTTAGAGTTCTGGGTTTAGGGTTTAGGGTTTAGGGTTCTATTGAGATATTGAAGAGACATCATGTAACTTCAGCCTGACACACCTCGGTGGCATGTAGAGCATCTCATCTTTTCTGCGATGATCAATTTCCCAAGGCCTGTGGAAGGAGCACTACTCACAAAACTACAGCCTTCAGGCAGGGATTGAATCTCGGTAACTGCGTTTTCAGCTTTTTGGTTCAAGGTTCCCTTCTAAAAGTAACCAACCCCCAGAAAAAGGGACCCTAAACCCCAAACCCCAAACCCCAAACCCCAAACCCCAAACCCCAAACCCCAAACCCTAAACCCTAAACCCTAAACCCCAAACCCTAAACCCTAAACCCTAAACCCTAAACCCTAGACCCTAGACCCTAAACCCTAAACCCTAAACCCCCTCATTCTAACATGGTTGCTGGGCTGCCAAGGACCGGGTGTCTGGAAGGCTCGCAGAAGAGGCCTGGGATGCTGCCGCCAAGCGAGCGGGCGAGGGGAGCTTCGACCATCTTGGCTGCTGGGCTCTGGGTTAGTGAACTTCTGAGCTCTTAATCTAGAATGTAAGATTGGATAGAAACTTACTAGAATACATATATATATATATTTATATGTATATATACACATGTATCCAACACAAAATACATAGCAAGCTATTACAGTCTGTCCATTAAGGCATGTGCTTGATGTTCATCCAGTTGTTTGAGAAGCTAGCCCTAAACCCTAGACGCCAAAACCCTAGCCCTAAACCCTAAACCCCAACCCCTAAACCCTAGCCCCAAACCCTACCAAAAACATAATCAGAAGCCCTCAACCCTAAAGCCTAGCCCTAAACCCGAAATCCTAGCCCTAAATCCTAAACCCTACCCCAGAATCTAAGGATGGTTCACATTCATCGGCAACATGTCGGCCAACATGCCGGAGTCCCTCGTGACACTGGGCCCTGTCTTTTTGGCATGTTTGCGAGTTCCCTTAATTTGAGTTTTGGAGTACTATGCGTTAATAACTTGTTTTTGTTCTGGGTTGCTATTATAGCTACTTATCCCTGAAAATACTTTTTTCCAGGGTCTGCTCCAAAGTGGGGTTATTTGGGTTGAGGGTTTAGAAGCAATGGGGTTTGGGGTTCCCTAGATTTGGGTTACAGAGGAATCGACTTTGGTGTTTTTGTTGGAGTTTGGAGATCACGAAACAGGAGTCCTTTGTGGAAGATTCTCGCCCTTCCCCCCTCCCCCCCCCCCCCCCCCAATAGAAAGGTGCATAAATAGAGAGAGAGAGAGAGAGAGAGAGAGGGAGAGAGATAGAGAGAGATATACATGATCAGGGCCCCAAAAAAATTAACAAAAAACAAATAAAGCTCTCAACCCCAGCCTGCCCCCAGCACCCAGGACTGGTGCTTTGCAGCGGGGCTCCACCACGCTCAACTTCACGTCAACCATGGAACACCTACTTCCTACCTGGCCGCCACCTGGGTGCGGAGTTGGAGATTGTTTGGGATGTTCCCCCTTGTACTAACAGTCCTTGATAGGGAGTATAGTACCCCCCTTTACAATCCCTCCTAAGGACTGTTGGTATAAGGGGGAACATCCCAAGAGACTGTCTTTTTATCCCTTTTTGAGTGCGCAGCCTTAGTTGACCAACTATGAACCCTCACTACCGCCTTAGAACGCACAGTATCAGAGCTGTTCCCCTAAACCCTAAACCCTAAATCCTTAACCCGAAACCCGAAACCCCTACAGAACTCCATCAGAAAGGCTCTGCAGGGAGCTACATCCCTCCTTACCACGGCGTCCAGAGTTGGAGTACTTGTCCTGGGTGCTCAAAAGACATCCCTGCGACCAGGCAGTTCTCTTTAGGGTTTAGGGTTTAGGGTTTAGGGTTTAGGGTTTAGGGTTTAGGGTTTAGGGTTTAGGGTTTAGGGTTTAGGGTTTAGGGTTCTTGGTAGCCCAGTGGTACCCTTTCCCCTTTTTTGGGGTTCAAGGTTCCCTTGTAAAGTAACCGACCCAAAAAAGGATGCCCTTATTATAATATGGTTACTGGGCTACTAAGTCTAAGTGGTGGTCGATTTGGGTACCCTTAATAGAAGGCTCCGTAGTACCCCGAAAGGGACCACAACGTATTGAAGAACCCGCTGAGGCTCTAAAGCCTAAGATAGCGTGCATATTCTTTGTATGCGCAAGTACTCCTGGCACTTGGTGCCAGCTAAAGCCGAAACCCTGCTTCATGAAGCCTGAAAACTAAAAGCCCTGCACGCCTTGCAAACCCTCAAAACAGTACGTAGTTTAGCATAGTCATACCCACAAAAATACATCCTACACAACCATGTGAAAGAAACACTTCACACACATATATATATATATATAGATGTATATATGGATATATACACACACACGTATGTACACACACACACCCGCACACACACACACACACACACACACACACCACCCCTCGCCCGCCCGCCCGCCCGCCCGCCCGCCCACCCACCCGGCCACCCACCCAGCGCGCGCGCATACAATCCCCCAACAGAACCTAAAGCTTACGCTCCAAGAAACAGGTGGAACTCCTGAACGTCAGCGGCGGCCGTTTTGAAGAATCGGCATTTCCTGAAGAGACCGGCTTCTTCGAAGCGGTGCAGGGCCTTTCCCACCTTCAGCCTTTCAGTCATGAATTTAAGGTTTAGGGGTTTAGGGTTTAGGGGTTTAGGATTTAGGGCTAGGGTTTATGAAGTGTGAGGTATCCAGTAGAAGGAGGTCTTGGGGGCTGACCGTGCAAACCATTCCCTTACCATCTGTAAGTACTATCCAAGTTCTCTTCTCATAATCCGTAACGCGTATGTTTCTGGCTGCAAACTGCTGGGAAAGGTCCCTCTCCATCAAGCACTGGTCCTTGTCCGAAGTTGAAACTTGGCTGCTGAGGAGTTGGAGTTTGCGCATTGTGTGTGGAGCCAAGGGAGGCATTTGAGGCTCAGAATTTTGAAAGCAACAATTGCCCTCATTCGGCCGTCATTCTTGGGTATATTGATCTTAACAAGGCTATACAGGTAAATTTCGAGTACAAAACCTGCAAGAACCTTAGCCTAAACCCTAAACCCCAAACCCCTTGCAAGGACTTACTACTTCGGTTGTAGGCTACTTGCTTCCCTAGGACCTGTTCTAAGGCTAGATCCCTAAACCCAAGAGCCTGATACAACTCTTTAGGCAACCTGAACAAGCCTAGGAAGCACATCCGCGCCATGCCCATCAGAAAGTTTGTAGACGTCCCTTCACCAGCGCCATGCCCCACACCCTACAACCTAAACCCTAAAGGCCTTAGAGCCCAAGCCCTAAAGCCTAAAGCCTAAAGCCTAAAGCCTAAAGCCTAAACCCTAAACCCTAAACCCTAAACCCTAAAACCTAAACAACAGCTTAACAACTAGGATCCAAGTTTGCAGCAGTTGGTTTCAGGCTTAGGGCTTAGGATTCCGGGCCTGGGATGTAGGATTCAAGGTGTAGGGTTTATGGCTTAGGGTTTAGGATTTAGGGATAGGGTAGGTAGACCCAAGAGTGGCTGTGTGGTAACTACTCAAACGCAACCCTAAACCCCAAACCCTAAACCCTAAACCCAAAACCCTAAATTGCCTAGGAGTATCTTTGTTGTTTGGGGAAGTACCTAAGACCCAAACCCTAAACCCCAAAAGAACACAAGGAGATCCCAGCCCTCAACCCTGAAGCCTAAAATTGGGTTTAGGGTTTAGGGTTTAGGGTTTAGGGTTTAGGCTTTAGGGTTTAGGGTTTAGGCTTTAGGGTTTAGGGTTTAGGGTTAGAATCAGCCAAGGACATGCGGGAGCTCGGTGCAGCTCTCAAGGCAAGGGCCCGTGATGATTCTCGCCTGGCCCTTTTGGAGCTCACGCCGCGGCTGGGAGAAATCGCCTTTCCCAGAATTTTGGATGCTTTATGGTTCAGGGAAATATTGAGGGTTTAGGAGTTAAGGATTTAGGATTTGAGGGTTTAGGGTTTAGGGCTGCATCAAGAAGCGAAGACCTAAAGTCTACCAAGAATCCTCCGGGGGCTTTAAACACTAACATGCCCGAATAGCCTAAAGCCTTAAGTCTAGGCACCCTAAGCCCTAAACCCTAAGCCCTACATCCTGAACCCTAAACCCAGCCTAAACTCCTAAATCCTAAACCCTAAACCCTAAACCCTAAACCCTAAACCCTAAACCCTAAACCATGTCGGGCTCCGAGGTTCTTGGTTGCATGCGGCAGGGCTTCGGGATGGGTTGTGTGGTCGCCCCCCCCCCCCCCCCCAGGGTTTAGGGTTTAGGGTTTAGGGATTAGGGTTCACTCTCAGCCTTTAATTTCCCACAACTGAATAACATCCTAACGACTTTTCGTTTTAGGGTTTAGGGTTTTGGTTTAGGGTTTGGTGTTGAATGATGACATTTGAATCCGAGTCCCCAAGCCAAGTTTCTCTCTGAGCCAGAATAAGCCAAGGAACCGCGTTCAAGCACTTGCATCTTGTCCGCTTCATGGTCCCTAAACCTTAAACCCTAAACCCTAAACCCTAAACCCTAAACCCTAAACCCTAAACGATCTCATGTCTTCCCCTTCTTGGGTTCAAGAGGATCTTATTTAGATTGTTCAGGTCGTAGCAAGTTGGAAGAGCCTATTGGGCCTTGTTTGGGCCTTGTCTTTTAGGGTAGGCTAGGATCCAGTAGTGGAGATGTAGAAAGGCATTAGAGAGCCTCGAGACTTGTTTGGTGGGAGAGTGGCTGTTGGATTGGGGTGGGTATGGGCATGTGGGTGGGCATGTGGGTGGGCGTGTGGGTGAGAGTGTGGGTGAGAGTGTGGGTGAGAGTGTGGGCGAGCGTGTTGGGTGTGGGTGGGTGTGGGCATGGGTGGGTGCGGATGGGCGTGGTTGTGGGTGGGTGCGTGTGGACGGGTAGGCGGGTGGGCGGCGTGCCTGCACACGGTGTGATGTATGTGTGTGGGTGTAGGTTTACATATATATATATATGTATAGATCGATAGATAGATAGATAGCTAGCCAGATAGATAGATAGAGAGTTAAAGATATTTTTGGATGTATTCATATGTATATGTGTGTAAATTACAAAGTCTTATAACGTTTTTTGAATATGTTCCATCGCATGGCTCTCTCTGATTCCCAGTATACAGTCTCCATGCCCGGACCGTTTCAATCACGGAACCCCCAAAGCAGTCCGAAACACCGCATGCCCTCATTGAACTCGACCAGAACCCTAAACTGGCCCTAAACCCTAAACTCTACACCCTACACCCTCAACCCTCAACCCTAAACACTACACCCTACACCCTGAAATCCTAAACCCTAAACCCTAAACCCTAAACCCTAAACCCTGAACCCTGAACCCGTGAACCCCAGGTTCGGCCTGTGCATTCAGCGCTTGGAGCTTGGCGACATCGGCCTGAGTAGCCGGGAGGACCTGGAAGCCTTCATCGCGGACGCTTGGTGGCCCAGTGGTGGTACCTTCTTGCCCTTTGCTTGGTTCTAGGGTTTAGGGTTTAGGGTTTAGGGTTTAGGGTTTAGGGTTTAGGGTTTGGTGTTTAGGGCTTAGGGCTCAGGGCTTATAAAGGGTTCAGGAGGTTCCCCGGTTCCCTTATGAAGTAGCCAACAACGACAAGGGTACCCTGGTTCCAATATGGTTTCTGGTCTACCAAGGAAATCGCTCAAGCTGGAATGCCTTGCCTGCAGAAGCTGCGCATTGATGCTGCTAGACAATTTGGGGGTGGGGCGGGGGGGGGGGGGGCAGGTAAGGTGTAGGGTTTAGGGTTTCGGGTTTGGGGCTTTAAGGGTTTGGGTTTTAAGGACTTCCTTTCAACCTGTGCAACTTCGCTCAAAGTCCAGCCTGCTGCCGTGATACTTCCGACGTTCACCAAGGTCACTGGCCCGAGCAACTACACATTGCTGGCGGAGATGCATCCGTCCATTGAGGAGGCCTTGAGAAAGGCCGCTCGAAACAGCACCGCTGAGTTGATCATCAACAGCGACTGAGAACGCACCCTAATGCCTGCACCATAAAACCCTCAGCCCGTTTGCAGTTGCGCCAGGGAAAAAAGCTGCACCCATAAAAAATGTGAGTGACAGGTTCCCCCCACTCATTAAATGGGGGTTGGTTATTCAGGTCCCTCCAAATCTCAACCTTCAATGGTACCCAAATAGTAGACGACTTAGAGTAGCACAGTTGGGGGGGAAGCCTAAACCCTAAACCCTAAACCCCCAAAGAAAAAGCCCTGTCAGTTCGGGGCTTGGGCATGCATCGTCCCCATCCAATTGGTTTGTCGAACAAGGGCCTTTTCAATATGCCTAGTGATGGGTTTAGGGTTTAGGGTTTTAGGGTTTAGGGTTTAGGGTTTAGGGTCTAGAAGAACAGTTCCCACAACAAGTACCTGCACCTGGGGCTTAGTTAGTTCACGGTTTCCCCAACTACCCCCCTCTATACTTCTCCCCCTAGGTTCCCCCATAAGTAAGGCTATCTAGGGATAATTTAGCCTCATTAAGGTTATTTCAGGGGGGAACCTGAAAAGGGGGGGGGGGTAGTAGGGAAACCATGCTGAGTTGTAATGCTTGGAGTTCTAAATCAAGCCAACCCGACATCGGTGCTTCTTCACCTGCCACAGCCGTGCTTCTCAAGAAGAGGGGTGCGCATGAGGGCTTGCTAGTGTCTTTAGGGTTTAGGGTTCAGGGTTAGGGTTTAGGGTTTAGGGTTTAGGGTTTAGGGTTTAGGGTTTAGGGTTTAGGGTTTAGGGTTTAGGGTTTCGGGTTTAGGGTTTAGGGTTTAGGGTTTAGGGTTTAGGGTTGAGGGGTTTACGGCTAGAGTTGAGACTTTAGGTGCCCTCGAACGTTTCGTTGTCTGACGGCACCCCGGCTTCGGCTGGGAAGCCTCTTCTTACATTCCTGGAGCTGGACTGACGAGCCTGCAATGAAGTTGGGACCTGAGTGCTGAGACATGGCTGTCAGCCACACAAGGACAGATCATCACACACTCATCATGTGTCCAACTCATTAGGGTTTAGGGTTCAGGGTTCAGGGTTCAGGGCTTAGTGTTCAAGAACTGGAGTCATAGCTTGTATTTCGGAAACGTTGGCAAAGAGTTGGGTCGGCTCAACCCCAAGCAGCCGCCCTCGTTGTAAGCAAGGGCTTAGGGTTAGGGTTTAGGGTTTAGGGTTTAGGTTTTAGGGTTTAGGGTTTAGGGTTTAGGGTTTAGGGTTTAGGGTTTAGGGTTTCCCCGATAGAGCGCCCCTTCAGCACTTGTGCAATCAATAGTCCACTCATAACCTCAGTTATGGTACCACGGTTCTAGGGTTAAAAAAAGATCACAAACTCATAGGGTTTAGGGTTTAGGGTTTAGGGCTTAGGGCTTAGGGCTTAGGGCTTGAGGGGTTTTGGTGGGGAGTCAGAGTTGATCTAAGATGTGGGCGAAAAGCAAGGCATACAGTCACATGCCCATACAAAAGCGGGAGCTTCCTTAAGGTTGTATTTGTTCCAGGTGCGTGAAGTTCGCTTAGGGATTTGTTCTACGTGTCGAAGCAGCTTGGCGTGTCCCGCGGCATTTCCCATGCACCCTAAACCCGAACCCCAAAGTCTAAACGCCATGCACCGTAAACCCTACTTGGAGGTTCATGGTACTTATTAACCAATTTTCACTGTACTTCTAACTGTACTGGCACTTAAGGGGCCTCTAAGTGGGTTATACATAAGTGCCATGATCCTCCAAGTATAGGCCCTAAACATGATCTAAACGCCATGCACCCCAAACCCTCCAGATCCTAGACCCTAAACCCTTAAACTGAAAACCCTAAACCCTCTAGACCCTAAACCCTAGACCCTGACAACCCTAAACCTTCAGCCCCTTCAGAAACATCTCTAACCCTAAACCCTATAAACCCTATATGCCCTAAACCCTAAACCCCAAACCCTGAACCCTCAGCCCCTTCAGAAACATCCTCGTCCTGGGGCTTTTGGCGCTTCTTTTCTCTGATGCTGGCGCCCTCCGCGAAGCGGTCGAGGCTTCGGTGGTGGGCGTTTGTTTTGTATAGGGTTCATGTAGGGCTCTTTTGGGGTTTTCTGTAGTAGGGTTGATGCAGGATTCTTATGGGATTTATATGTTGAGTTCTTCTAGGGTTTCCTAGGGTTTACGTAGGGCTTCTGTAAGGGTTCTAGGGGCTCTATAGGTTTCTATTCGGGTGTATGCCGGCTTTGTAAGGTTCTATTGGGCTTTAGAGTTTAGGAACCCTGAAGCTTGCACTGCAACGTCAGCCTTGGTGTCGTCGTAGGGGCTGAGGGCGCAAGGTTTGGGATTTAGGGTTGAGGATTTCGGGTATAGGATTTAGTGTTTAGGGGTTAGGATTTAGGGTTTAGGGTTTGGGATTTAGGGTTCAGTGCTTCTAGGGTTTGGAGCGATTTCGAGTTCCCTCCTCGTGCATGCAAAGGGAACCCTAGATCCTATATCCTAAACCCTATTAAACGCTAAACCCCGAACCCTAACCCTAAACCCTAAACCCTACCGAATCACAGACCCTTGACACAAAGCCTTGCGCACCTGAAACCCTGCAATGAACCCTTCAGCTCCACCCCCTGGGACCCAGTAGTACCCCTAACTTTTTTGTTGGTTTGGGGTTTAGGGTTTAGGGTTTAGGGTTTAGGGTTTAGGGTTTAGGGTTTAGGGTTTAGGGTTTAGGGTTTAGGGTTTAGGGTTTAGGGTTTAGGGTTTAGGGTTTAGGGTTTAGGGTTTAGGGTTTAGGGTTTAGGGTTCCCGTTTAAGCCTCATGAAGCCGAAGAGACGCCCCCGCTAGGGGCTCTTCAAGTGGTCTACAAAAGGACCCAGAGTCGACCCTTATTCCCTTTTTTTTGGGGGGGGTTCGGCTTTTAACAGCCCCTGTAGACCAAAAAGGGTGCCCTTAGGCCACTCTTGGGCCTAGTCTAGGGCTTAGGGTTTAGGGTTTAGGGTTGAGGGTTTAGGGTTTAGGGTACACTAGCAGTGTTTCACAGTGCCTTTTACGGTCCAGGGTTTAGGGTTTAGGGTTTAGGGCTAAGAGGCGGCCGTGTCCGGTCTGGACAGCCGCTGCGGCGACCTCCAATGCCCCCGAGCACGGGAGAAGGGCAGGCCACAAGGGGCAGGTACATAACTAAGGGTCCCTTTTTGAGGGGGGTCCTTGTCAAAATGGGTGCCGTAGTAGATGGTAGTTCTCTAAACTGGAGTGGATGGTAGTTCTCTACATTGGGTCCCTTTTTGGGGGGGTCCTAATGACAATGGTGCCGTAGTAGACAGAGGACCCAACAAGATACCCAGATTTAGAGAGCTTATTACCCGCGCGCACAAGCATTTCCGTGTTTCTCTGAACTTCCGAGGACGAAGTATATAGGTTGCCGGTGTTTGAACATCATGATTTGAGCCACTGGAAGTATAGGATGTGGAGGTGTGTGGATGTAAGCCCGATGCCATCGCCGCCCTCTCAATCTTGTTTGTGCAGAAGGTCGCTTCTGGAACAACAAACCGCAAATCCTAATCCACAAACCCCTAAACCCTAAACCCTAAACCCTAAACCCTAAACCCTAAACCCTAAACCCTAAACCCTAAACCCTAAACCCTAAACCCTAAACCCTAAACCCCAGCAAAAGCTCAGACTTTGCAGGGCTGGGTAGGTTTAGGCTTTGCGCAAGGCGTGAGATCTTCGGCGATCTGGTCTCTATTGTAGGGTTTCGGAGACTGTTGGTTGAGGGTTTGCAGGGTTTAGCGTTTAGGGTTTACGGTTTAGGGTTTATAGTTTGTGGGGTTCAGTGTTCGTGCGTAAAGCTTTCGGTAATGTATGCCATAGGCTTGAGCTTTCTTTCTCGGGCTTCAGAAAGCAGCTGATCACGAGATGCCTGCTGAAACCCTAAGCCCTGAACCCTAAAACCTAAACTAGGATGCCCAGTAGTACCCTTATTCCCTTTTTGGGGGGTTTAGGTTCCCTTATAAACCCCTTTAAGCAAAAAAGGGCACCCTTTTTAAGCCTTGGTTACTGGGCAGCCTAGTAAACCTTCCTAAAGACTTTGAGAAATAGAACGGAGAAGACCAAAACCGATGTGCAAGTAAACCAGGCCAGTAAGGACAAAACAGACAACGCGCTCTGATTTCACCAAGCAAGAGCTATGAAGCGATTTTTCAACCTCAGGTCTTGGTAGCCCAGCGGTGCCCTTCACCCTTTTTTTTGGGGGTTCTGGGTTCCCTTAATTATAAAAAGTAACCAACCCAAAAAAGGGTGCCCTTTATTAGAATGTGGCTACTGGGCTGCCAGGAGGTGTAGTTCTGTGAGCAGAACGAGATTTAGATCCGGCCACGCGGCCACGAGCAAACATCAGACAACAATCAGAAATGCCAGAAGCTCGCAAACGCAGGCATAGGATCATTCTCAAATCTGAGGTGTAACAAGGGAATTCTGTAAGCAGAACAGGTACGAAAAGAATTTTGAACTAGATCAGGCCATCAGCAAACAGTGGACAACAACAATCATCAGTACTAAGCAGACGCACAAAGAGCATTAAAGGACTGTCCTTAAGCCGCCGTTGTTTTTTTTTAAGTATCGACCGGAGTGCCATGTCGGCCCCGAAGGTCCATGCCGCCAAAACTCAAACCTCCTCTGGACTCACCCGCTCCAAACCCTGAGGTGTGCCCCTAAGGCTCCAAATAGCCCAAAGTAGGTTTAGGGTTTAGGGTTTAGGGTTTAGGGTTTAGGGTTTTGGGGTTTAGGGTTTAGGGTTTAGGGTTCATTTGCAGACCTTAGACCCCAATGTAGGCATTATTTGTGTGCTTGGATCCCTAGGGTTTCGGTTTAGGCTTTAGGGGCCGGAACCCCTGAAGTCCCTAAAGCCTTAAGCCCTCCCATTGCGGGAGGCTGAATCAGGGACGCTTTCAGCTAGAAGGGAGCGCTGCGCAGCGAGTATCCTGGAGGCAGGGCTGTAGGCATTTTCGGTTTGTAGGGTTGTGGGGATTCAGGGCCGTTTCTTTGTCA